TGTGTGTGTGTGTGTGTGTGTGTGTGTGTGTGTGTGTGTGTGTGTGTTCAGAGCGTCTGGTGGAGAGCCTGCGTCTGCCTCAGGTGCCCATCCTTCATGCTCAGGTGTTCCTGTTCTTCAGAGTGCTGCTGCTGCGCATGTCACCTCAACACCTCACCTCGCTGTGGCCCACCATGATCACTGAACTGGTGAGAACTAGACGTGGCTGACTGCAGTCTCTTTCTTTCTCTTTTGGCTCACTTGATATGTCTTTAAATGTTTCTTTCTTTCAGCCCTCTCCACATATTTTACACACTCACACACATTCACACATTCTACATGTGTTTCCCTGCAGGTTCAGGTGTTTCTTCTCATGGAGCAGGAGCTCACGGCAGACGAAGACATATCAAGGTATGTTATCGGTTGATGATACAGACTGGATTGCAGCATAATAAAATCACTTCTGCCTGTGTTCGCTTGACGATTTCTCCTCTCCTGTCCATCTGTAGGACGTCGGGGCCGTCCGTGGCCGGGTTAGAGGCCACCTATTCTGGTGGGAACGGCTTCTCCACCTCCTACAACAGCCAGCGCTGGCTCAACCTCTATCTGTCTGCCTGCAAGCTCCTGGACCTGGCTTTGGCCCTGCCCCCCGAGAGCCTGCCTCAGTTCCAGATGTCAGTACAGACAAGCCTTGCTCATAATTATCTCTGTGATTGGCTTAGGGAAACAGCTACAGAGATAATTAGTTTAAAATGTCCCTATTGGGGATGGATGCATGCAGCACGAATTATTTGCAATGATAGTATAGTAAATGGAATAATTTCTATATCTCAGTATGTGGCTAACATATGAATAATACATTTGAATATTGCTCCTTTTTAAAGCTCTGGTGACTTGTTAAATGGCTGAAAATGGTGTTATTTCTGAGTGAGTCCTGATTCATTACAGGTACCGCTGGGCCTTCATCCCAGAGGCGTCAGATGATTCAGGATTGGAAGTGAGGCGACAAGGGACTCACCAGAGAGAGTTTAAACCCTACGTGGTCCGACTGGCCAAGCTGCTGAGGAAACGAGCAAAGGTACCCCCCCCCTGTCTACACAAGGTTATTAAATGATGGAGACAAATGAATCTATCAGTATGTGCAGGGGAACGCTCAGGCCCTGTTTTTTTGGCAAGATGCAGCCCACTTAATTCAGGCCGCAGGACGGCACATACATTTTTATAAT